TCGAGCGGGCCCAGTGACGTCTCCATTGGAGACTTTGTTGTTACTGTGTTTGGCATATCGGATACGTCACGGGTAGCTTGCCAGGCTCTGCTGTGTGGGCGAGATACTCGGTAGCTTGCCGGGCTCTCCGAGAGGGGCGGAGGAATCGAACTCGGGTTAGCCATGTTAGCTGCGTGCAAGGCAAACGCCCTACCGCATCCTGTGCAATATCCCGTCATAAGCAGTGGAAGCGCACTGTGATGATAATCTCACAGCGCTTGAAATTACATTAAGTAAGAGTTTTGGAGCATGGCCGTTGCACTATATTAGAATTTTTATCTCCAGATTTACTTGATGTACTTAAAATATTGGAGCAATAGCACAGTGTTAGGGCGTTTGTTTGCCTTGCATGCCGCTGACCCGGCCGACTCGGGTTTGATTCTTCCATGCCTTTCAGAGAGCCCGGCAAGATACCGAGTACCCTGCCCACACAGCAAAGACTGGCAAGCAACCCATGGTGTATTCAGTATGCCAAACACAGGAACAAGAAGTCTCACAATGGTAACGTTACTGGGCCTGCTCCAGCAAATCGATGAACAACGGGAGGACAGTGACAGTGACAGTGAGCTTGCTTAGGGCACCAAAGAGACAAAAACCGAAATTTGAGTGATATATTAAATAGCAGTTTCCTGAAAATCATGATAAAGTGCTATGTGTGATTTCATTTCCTTACATTCCTTAAGCTAGAAGAGAATTCTTTAGCATCACTAAAACTAGAGCTTCTTTAAGAAAAGTAGAAGAATTCGCCAAAGGTTTTTATAAATGTAGATGACTGCTATATCTCTGACAGGTGAAACTTTTAAAATCAAAGGAGAAACCTATAGAAAGTATCCTTTTTGTGTTTATTGGATCAAAGATATTAGGTTAGGGATGCATTTTTTTTTAATTACTAGTAAGTTAGATAAAAACACCACAAAACAGTAGAAGATGTCAAGGAAATAAGGTCAATTTTGGATGCAGAAAGTTTTGGAAATGTTTGAGTGTATATGCTGTATCAGTATTATAACTTTGCAAAACTATTTTACAGTATCAGTGTATCACTGTATCACTGTTATCCTGCTGTTCATCGATCTACTCGAGCGGGTGCCAGTAACATCTCCATTTGTCCCAGCCCTGAGATTTTATTTTATTTATTTATTTTTAAAAATTTTATTGAATTACCGTGAGATACTTACAAGCTTTCATGTTTGGGTTACAATCACACAGTGATCAAACACCCATCCCTCCACCAGTGCATATTCCCCACCACCAATATCCCTGATATACCCTCCCTTTCCCACCCTCCCCCTGCCTCCGTGGCAGAAAATATTCCCCATCCTCTCTCTCTACTTTTGGGCATTATGGCTTGCAATACAGACACTGTGAGGTTATCATGTTTGGTCCATTATCTACTTTCAGCACACATCTCCCATCCCGACCGGTTCCTCCAGCCATCATTTTCTTAGTGATCCCGTCTCTATTTCAGCTGCCTTCTCCCTTTTGCTCAGGAGGCAGGCTTCCAGCTATGGAGCAATCTATCTGTCTCGTGTATCTACTATCCTTAGCTGTCAGCCTCATGTTATATTGTTTTATACTCCACAAATGAGTGCAGTCCTTCTATGTCTGTCCCTGTCTTTCTGACTCATTTCACTTAGAATGATATTTTCCATATCTATCTTCTTATAAGGAAATTTCATGATTGCATCTCTCCTGACAGCTGCATAGTTTTTCATTGTGTAGAGGTACCAAAGTTTCTTTAACTGGTCACCTGTTCTAGGGCACTTGGGTTGTTTCCAGATTTTGACTATTGTGAACAGTGCTGCAATGAATGTATAAGTACAGATGTCATTTCTACTATGCTTTTTTGCGCCCTTGGGATATATTCCCAGAAGTGGTGTTGCGGGCTCAGATGAAAGCTTAATTTCTAGTTTTTGAAGGACTTCATATTGTTTTCCAGAAAAGCTGGACTAGTGGGCATTCCCACCAACAGTGAAAGAGCTAGAAGAAAGACATCAATAGCCTGGAGATTTTAGCATCCTCTCCTTACTCATCTTTCCCAACCATTGGAGGCTCCTTCAGGGTCAGGGGAATGAGACCTGTTATCGTTACAGTTGTTGGCATATCTAATATGCCAGGGGTAGCTTGCCAGTAAAGGACTTAAAATATCTGTTGTATGTGAGAACAAATTTATTTCTTGTTCACAGTCATGTTTGCTCTTCTACTTTATGAATCACGGCATTCTTGTAGCTGAGGGAAAAGATCACGGTAGGGTCCCATGATGATGTTTAATATTTACTCAGAAGTGACACATGCCACTTTGCTCACTTTTCATTGCTTGTGAAATATTTGGCTAAAGCAAATGTTAGTAGGCAGGTGTTTGGGATATGAATGATTGTAGTGTATACTGGGAACAAAAATGCATTCTGCAAAACCTATATTCACATGTAAATATTGCCTGTTGTAGACCTTACTCCCTTGTCACCTTCCTTTTCGCTCAAAAGGTTTTACCCCCTTTTTTTTTAAAGGGAATTAAAGGACATGGTATTTACAACTGATTCCCAAGTGGTACAGGAAAATAAATTTTTAAAAAAATATTTGTGCACACATGTGTATGTAGAGGGAGGGGTGTGCATACGTGTAATTGAAGAATTCTTAGAAACCTTCTTGTTAACGTTCTGTAGGTTTGAAATGAATCATAATAAAAACTGATTAAAGGAAAGAGTCCATTCCAAAGCAAACTTCTCACCGTTCTTTTCTATCTCACCCAAACCTGGAGACTCTCTGCCTGCTAGAAGCTCTTGAGCACAGGGACATATGGGGGATATTGACAGGGATTCAAGAATAGGTAAAAGATGAAAATGTGAGAAGATTTAAAGTTTTGTGTTAAATTATGGTCCATCACTTTTTAAAATGACTTTGGCCAAAGAAGTCATCCTTTCTACACTTTAATAGTTTTTTCATGAGTACAGTGCTCATTCTTGACTTACAGTATTAGGCCTTGTAGGGTTAATAGTCATAAAGCACCTAAGCAGTGCCCATGTAGGCTATGTTTGTTTACTGTCAGCTACCTTCTTTGCAATTGTTAATATTGATTAGGGTCTAATCTCCCAGATGTTGCCATGCTGCTTAAAGTTTTATACTACTATATAGATGGCATTCCTTTTAACATATTCATATTACTGTTTAAATAAAAAATTGCCCCTTAAAGCACTTAATGATTTCATATTATCATATGTTGTTAGCAAAGATATTTTATTTTCTAACATAAGTGAGAGGGTTGTACCTATTTTTGGAAAAAGAGTCATCTCTTTGGAACAATGAGCACTTCAGGATTCCCCCAAATGAGGGATCGTGGGTAGGAGATAGAAAATGGATATTTGGAACATTTAGTGGATCTGTTAGGCAATGTTGTGTTTGAAAATATCTATGTTGTACGTTATTTGGATGCAATAATAGTTGTTTAAGGTATGCTTTATTGTTAATTGACTTTGAAACTTCAACATTTTCATTTTCTTTGTTTAGTTTAAATTAGGAAGGTCATGGCACCCTTTTGTGATCACTGTCACTGTCCTCCCGTTGTCCATCGATTTGCTCGAGCGGGCCCAGTAACATCTCCATTTTGAGACTTGTTGTTACTGTGTTTGGCATATCGAATATGTGACGGGGAGCTTGCCGGGCTTTGCCGTGTGCGCGATACTCTTGGCATCTTGCCGGGCTATCTGAGAGGGGCAGAGGAATTGAACCTGGCTCCGCTGGGCCAGCCGAGGCAAACGCCCTACTGCTGTGCTATTGGTTCAGCCCATAATCTTTAATATGTCTGTAAAAATAATTTTCCAATTTTATTGAGAAGTAATTGACATAAATCAGTAGGTTTAAGAAATACAGCTTTGTAATTTGTCTTGCATGTATTTGTGAATAAAAATAAAAAAAGTTAAAAATATTTCCTTTGATAAAAATTCTCAACAACTTCACGCTTGTCATAACGTATCATATAGTCTTGTTAACTCTAGCGAATAGCTCAAAGATTGCATTCCTAGTATGTATTTGTCTTAAAACTAGAAGTCTGTGCTTTCTATATACCCTCTTCCAACTTTCCTGCCACCACCATTTGTCACTGTTAATCATTAACACTGTCAATCAGTTTGTGTATCCATAATTATTTTTTGCACTTTAAGGATTTTTTACTGTATGAGTGCGATTACTCAATAATTTTTCCTCTGATTTACTTCACTTGGCTTAATATTTCCAAGATCGATATGTTTCCAAGTGGCACGTTTTTTAAAATTTCATGATAAAATAATATTTGATTATATGACTCCATAATACCAGTATTTTTGGTATTATATACCAGTGTGGATTGCTTATTACTGTTTTGACCTAGTAGTTGATATAGTCTTTCTGTGCAACTCCTGGCTAGTGTATCTTTTTTGCAAAAATGTCTTTAGATTTCTATTCAGTTTAAAATGATTTATGTTTTGCTCTTGAGTGCTTTGGAGTTCTTTGTTTTGAATATTCACTAACCTCTGATCAGATACATGGTTTGCAAATAGCTTTTTCTCATTTGCAGGCTGATTTTTTTTTTTTTAATCTCTGTTGATTGTTTCTTTGACTGTACAATACCTTGTTAGTTTTATGCATCTCACTTGTTTACTTTTGGTAGTGATATTTGTGCTTTAGGTTATTTAGGTGTTACACCAGAAAACTGCCATTAAGACCCAGGTGAAGGAGTTTCTCCCCTACCCCCACCCCCATTCCTGCTGTTTTCATCTAGAAGTTTCAAAAATGCACTTACATGTTTATGTCTTTAATACATTTTTAGTTAGGTATTGTAAGTGATAATTACGTTTCTTTGTGTGTGGTTGTTTGATTTTACAAACACTCTTATTTATCGGCGAGCTCCATTGAGTGTATTTGACTTTGTTTCCAAATATGTGAACTGTACCTGGGTTTCTAGGCGTGTAAATTATGTCTTTCTCTTGTAGTGCGATTGTGCTCTGACCGGCTTGGCCTCATTAAGGAGTGTATTTGCCAGTCTCCCACATGCTACAAACAGTCTGCCAAACTTCTGGGCCTTGCTGAGTTGCTGAGGATAGCAGGTACGTTTTGAATGCTAAACTGCAGAATGCAGTTTCTGTGTTATCAGTTACATCATCCTAGATAAATGTTAGAATACTTGCTTACCTTGTTAGAAGAGCTGCTTTGGGGCATGGATTTGTCCTCTCTCTCTCTCTCTCTCTCTCTCTCTTTCTCTCTCTCTCTCTCTCTCTCTCTCTCTCTGGTTTGGACCTGGTAGCACCCAGAATTTACTTCTAGTTCTGTGCTCAGGGATCATATGTGGTGCCGGGTCAGCGGGTATGCAAGGAAACTGCCTTACCTGCTGTACTATCTCTGCGGTTCCTAGCTTTGTCTTTTCAAGAAACAGTGTCCTGTCATTAAAATATGTGTATTGAGCTGTTAAGATGTGCCCAGTGAGGACAGGCTTATATTCAGGCATCCACCTAGTTGTCAGAGTGAAAATAGAAGTGAGGACGAACATTTATAACCAGTAAACTAGAACATGGGAGGATCCAGCCCTTCCAGTTCACTTTCAATGTTCAAATATGATGTGTTATTTTTGTTTTTGTTTCTGGTGGTGCTGAGGATGAGACCCAGGGCATCACACAGGTGAGGCCTTACATCTCGGAGGGTGGTGTTCTCATTTTGAACATTTGCTTAGGAGAATGTGTGCATTTACTGTGTGATGTTCTTTACATTGTCTCATTTCATCTGCTATTAAGTGGTGACAATAATGCTACTGTTTTATTTTATAAGGGACATTAAGGATCTAAGAAATTAAATTTCTTGCTTGGTAGGGTTAAGTAGCAGTTAAAATTTTTTATTGAAGGTTTATAACCACACTTTTACCTACTAGGGTTTTTCAAATAATTTCCTTTCATATTTTAAAAAATATATTGATTTTTCAAGAACAATTGTCTATCTTGTTTCATAAGCCATGCTTTGATGCATATTCTAAGTGACAGGGAATTCATATTTTAATTTTGAATACACATAGATGTATATGGTTAGAATAATTAGTGGACACAATAATTTTTTAATCTTAAGGATGGACTCTTGGGGCTATAGTTTTTGTACATTTCAGTGTGTCTAGTTGAAAGCTTATCATTACCATATTGACCTTTGAACTTGGAACATCCTTGGGAAGGTGCTATGCTGCAGTTAGGGACAGGCTTCTGTTGTGATGAGGATGATAATGTAGAAACTGGGTGTGGGATCTGAAGATTGACTCAGTCTTGACGCTTCTGTATACTTGCCAAATGTTTTAAGCTCTATTTTCCTGTCGGGGAAAATAGTAATGATATTTTCATTGCTTTACCTGCCAAGTTTTTAAGAGGGCCCAATAAATTAATTTATGTAAAAGCACTTTGTCAACGTTGACACGCTCTGATCATCAGGGGAGAACTTCATAAGCATTCAGTCCATAGAAACTAATGGAGCAGTCAGGAATGCGGTTTCTATTTTTCACGTGCCTATGCAGATTAATTTCTGTTTTTGTCCTTGTGACACATTGATAGAGAAACAGGAAGATGGGAAACTGTGCAACTATTTTTATCTTTAATGGAATAGACATTCTTTTTCACCAGTTACTGTTTAGAGCTTCTATTAAATCACCACCAGGTAGTGGCTAGAGATGGGCTCATCTTGAAGACTCACAAAGTGCAGTGTCTGGGTGGGGAGCCTTAAGTGAGGAGTGGAACAGTTCCTGCGCTTACATTCCTACGTGGTGGCTAAAAATGACCAGAGTCAGTGTCCCAAGGAAGCTAGCAAAGTATATGGCAGTTTTCTAGTCTTGTCTTAGTTTTGGAGCTGCACCGTTTCTATTGTATCTCTTTCATGGAGGTAGTCCACAGCCCTTCCAAATTCATGGGGGCAGAGTATAGCACCTGCCGAATACCTGAGTGGGACTGGGTGATCTGCTTCTGAGCTGCTTGGCTCACATGGCTGTTTGGAGCCTCAGTTTATTCCCGGTAAAGTCCTGCTTTCCTGGCCAGTGAACTCCTCCATGGACCTTGTATATTCTCTAGGCATGTTTTTCTCCTACAGCATTTGATCCATGAGATAAAAATGAGGAATGCGTGATGCATTTTATAACTTAGTCTTCTGTTTGTTAGAAATTTAAATCACTAATTAGTATGTATCCTCGCAAGGCAAGAGGCATTTATTTCCATCTTTTGGAGGAAGTATCAAAGGATTTGTGAATGTAGTTTAAAGGTATTTTATATACTTAGTCTGATCAGCCCATAGTCTTATTTAGATTAGATTTATGAATCATTTTATTTGATAGATTTCTAATTGGGTCATATTCCTGCTCATTTTTTGGGAAAATGTGAGCTTTTGTTATATTTTTCTAGATACCTGTTTGTTCTGGTTATATTTTGCTTTTTAATCACTTAGAATTGTAAAATTAGTTTTAAAATATTTTAACTTTAGTAAAATATAGTCTAGTGAGTAGGCCTTTTGCCTAGCTTGTGGCCAACCTGGGTTTGATCTCCAGCCATATGGTTCCCTGAACCCCACCAGAATGATGTCTGAGTGTATAGCCAGGAGTATGCCCTGAGCACTGCTGGATGTGGCGCCAAACCCCTCCAACCCCCAATTATTTTAACTTTGTACTCAAGGTGACCAATTGACCCGTCGTCATATAAAAATTTAAATATGCAGCAATAACTTAATGTTATGCTTTCATACTCACGTAAGTTACTTCTTGCCATGTCCCCTGTAGCAGAAATCTGAATAGTATTTTAAATATAAGGAAACAGTATAAAGAAATTAAGATTTCACAGCTGAAAAATTAATTATGTCGAATATCTTGTGCTGTATTCACCTTTCTTTGGATATTGGTGATGGCAACCTGTGAATCCATGCTGAAATTCAGTTGATTTAGAGCTTTAATTCTTGTTTTGAGTTTTGTTTTGGGACTACACCCAGTTTGCTCAGGAATCACTCCTGCCAGTACTTGGGAGAGCACATGTAGTGTTCAGAATTGAACTGGGGTGAGCCGCATACAAGGCAAGCACCTTAATCTCTCGACTCTCTTTCTGGCCCCTGAAAAAGATTGTTTACTTTTTCTTTTAGCCTAAATATATAAATTATATTTGTACTGTATCTTTGAATTATTCGTCTTATATTTAAACACTGCATTCAAAATTAAACCTTCCCTCAATTTTATTGAGGATTTTTTTGGGGGGAGGATCCTCATATGTGCATGACTGTGTGCTCAGTATGGGGAATTTGACAAGGAAGCAACGCTTTTCTTTAAGATTTATATTCTGATAGAGTGTGTAATTATTGAAGATTGTCTCAGGGCCCAGGAGATAGCTCAAAGGGCTGGACTGCAGGGTCTCTATGCAGGAGACCTGGCTTGAATCGTCAACACCAGGAGGTTCCTGCTTACTACCAGGAGTGATGCCTGAGCCTTTAATAGTGAGAAGCCCCTGAACACCACCGTTTTTTTTATTTTTTATTGTTATCTTTTATTTATTTATTTTTACTAGTGAAACACCATGAGGTACAGTTGTAGACTTACAGATTTTTGTGCTTGGGTTTCAGTTATACAATGATTGAGTACCCATCCCTCCACCAGTGCCCATTCCCCACTTCCAGTGCTCCCGGAATCTCTCCCACCCCCACCCCCACCCCCACTCCCCAACTCAACCCCCAGAAAGAGAGGAACAGACATAGAAAGATTGCGTTCATCTGGGGAGTATAAAGTAACAAATTGGGAGACTAACACCACCCGGTTTTGTCCCCAAATTAAAACAAAACCAGAACAAAAACAATGCAGTAGTCTGGTATTTGAAAAATGGGAAGGGAAAAGGTATGTAGGAAGGGTACCGAAACATTGTATTTAATGAAAAAAGTAAGGAAATGTCAGAGATGGAAGTGACATCTACGTTGACTTATAAGGATATTCTCAGGAAAATAATTTAAGGTCTTTATGTTAATAGGAATTGAACTTGGGTATATGCTCTCTAACACTGGTGGTGTTCACAGTAACAAATGAGACTCTTGTGCTGTTAGTGAAACCATAAATTTTATCTATTCTACATTGTGTGCAAGGTTCTCCCCTGCTGTTTGCTATTCATGAGTTATAATTAGAATGGTCAAAGGAAAATTTGAAAACTTAAATAGCAAAGAAGTTTAGAGTTTACAACATTAAACTTGGACTTGCTCTTGATTGCTTTTCCCTGTGTTTCTTTGCTTGTTTTACTCTGGAGATAACTGTTCTCTCTTGAACATATTTTTTCTCTTTCTCTCTGTCACATCTTTCTAAGCAAGTTTCATTTAAAAAAAAAGCAAAGAAGTTGTTTAAAACTTTTTTAAACAAACGTTTCAAAAAAGTTCTTTTCTTGCTTAGTTGGGCGTGTTACAGTGAGCATGTTTGGTCTGGGGCTGAATTTGACCCTTGACTCCTAGGAAACATATGGAAGAGGAAAGTTGCTGTGACTTTCAGCCCTCCACTTTATTTTGAGTTACTTAAAGGGAATTGTTAATGACCTCCTCTTAATCATTTGGTGCTGCCATAATGTAATTACTAACTTATTTATGTGTGCGCATAGGTGAAGATGCAGAAGAAAGGCGTGGACAGGTTCTCATCCTTCTGGTTGATCAAGCACTTCGTTTCCATGACTACAAAGCAGCCAATGTGCATTGTCAGGAACTGATGGCCACAGGTGAAGTAAACTACTAACTTAACGCCATTCCTGCACTCTCTACCTGCTGATTAAGGGAAATGGGAAATTCTAAAATCAAATCGCCTGATTGGCGAGGCAGCCAGATTTGGTTTATGTCTTTAAACACATTTTTTTGGGCATTGGTAAGAATATATACCATGCCCTTCTAAAGGTTATATTTTACCTGAAATTTTTGATAGTTTGCTCCCCCCTATTTAAAGAAAAATAGCATATAAAATAGTTTCTGATGTATATATCTATGTACATACATATTTGCAATGTAATTATAGATATAATTTAAATTTTTGCATCGTCTATAATCTATGGCTCTAGTAAATATTTCTACTTAATTTATTAAAATATAATAGTTTGAAGTAGTTTTAGTACTACATCTATATAAATTTTAGTGAGATGTTTTACTGCTTAAGTCTGTTCAAGTGATAGAGCATATGTCTTTTTTTTTTTTAGTGAAACACCATGAGGTACAGTTGTAGACTTACAAATTTTTGTGCTTAGGTTTCAGTTATATAATGATCGAGTACCCATCCCTCCACCAGTGCCCATTCTCCACCACCACTGATCCCAGTATCCCTCCCAATCCCCATCCTCCCCATTCCACCCTGCCTCTGTGGCAGGGCATTCCCTTTTGTTGTTCTCTCTCTTTTTTGGGTGCTGTGGTTTGCAAAAGAGGCATTGAGTGGCAGTCGTGTTCGGTCACAATTAATAAGATATTCCCCAGTGTGTTAAGAAGTGATGTCCAATTATCATAGACTGTGCTAAATTACCTACTTTTTGTAGCTTTTTGCTTTCTGATAACTAATGGAGCTGTGCACTTAGACACCGGTGTCTGTGTGCTCTCTGTACATATACTGTTAAAGAAAGGATTTTTCTGTCATTTAAAAAAATGGGAGGAAGACTACATTCAGAACCTTTATAATATACATTGACTTTTATAAAAGGATTGAGAGATCAGACTCAACTTTATCAGTTTGTTATTTAGAGAAGCAGGATAGTCTTTATTGAAACTTATTTAGAAAGATGCGAGGGGCAACGAAAGGAGAAGAGTGTGTTCAAGAGAGAACAGCGACTTTTTTAGAGTGGAAATAGGTTAGCAAAGAAACAGAGACAAGCAAGATTCATGTTCAGGAGAGAACATGCGCTTGAATATGCCAAACACAGTAATAGCAAGTCTCACAATGGAGATGTTACTGGGCCCGCTCGAGCAAATTGATGACTCAGCTTTAAATTCATAAAATACATTTGGGGATTTACGGCCGAAGGGCTGAGAGATCAGTGGAGGGAATATCACTGTCTTGGGACATTAAGGTTAGTGGGATTTTTGCCAATTTGACTTAATAGAGTCTTGCTGAAGGCAGACCAAGGCCACCAGATGAAGAATTTGATCAGTAACTAAAGGGTGATTTATTATCCCATGATGTGATAGTCTCTCAAAATTGACTTAGCAGTAATTTTGCTAAAACTGACTTTTCAGGGCCAAGAGTGGTATTTGCCATGCATGTGGCTGACCTAGTCCAATCCTTGGCCCCCTTATATGGCCTCTTGGGCAAAGAGCCAAGGAGGAAACACCATGTACCACCAAGTGTGCCATCCCAAAAGGGGAAAAAAGAAAAAAAATAGTCTGTTTTAGGAGTTGTCTTGAATGTAGGCCTGCTACTTTATTACTTGCTGGAGTTTTCTATAAAATAAATGATTATCTGTGATTTATACGTGATTTCTTGATACCTTCCACTTTGAGGTCTACAAAGTACTTTTTAAAAATTTTATATATATATTTATTTAATTTATTTATTGAATCACTGTGAGAAAAGCTACAAAGCTTTTAAGTTTAAGTCTTGATCATACAATGATCAAACACTTTTCCCTTCCCCAGTAATTATTTTTCACCACCAAGAACCCCAATATACCCCCCTCCCACGCGTCCTGATGCCTGTGAGGCCAATGATTTCTACTTAACTCTCTCTCTACTTTGGTTACATTCATTATTTCGACAAAAGATGCACCATTATTGTTTGGAATTTCCCCGTACAAAGTAGTTTTGGATATGAATGCTTAAATATGGAAATTATGTATGTACACCTAATATATATTATATCAATATATATTAATGTAATATAAATTCAGTCTCCCCAGCAGTCCAGTGAGGAAGACTTTGTTACTATTTTCTCTTTGTAATTATACGTTATACAGTTATACAGGGCTGGAGCGATAGTACAGCAGTAGGCATTTGCCTTGCATTCGGCCAGCCCAGCTGAGCTGGGTTCAATTCCTCCACCCCTTTTGGAGAGCTTGGGAAGCTACTGAGAGTATCTCACCTGCATGGCAAAGCCTGGCAAGCTACCCATGACGTATTCAATATGCCAAACACAGTAACAACAAGTCTCACAATGGAGACGTTACTGGGCCTGGTCGAGCAAATCGTTGAACAACAGGAGGACAGTGTTCAGTGTTCAGTTATACAGTAAGTATGACACTTAGAATTTTCCCAAACTCACATAGGTGCTCAGTGGCAAGACTGGGCTATATCCCCAGCTCTTCTGAATTCACATATTTAACATTTTGCTGAAGCGATAGCACAGTGATAGGGCGTTTGCCTTGCACGCAACCAACATGGCTGACCCGAGTTCGATTCCTCCGCCCCTCTCGGAGAGCCCGGCAAGCTACCGAGTGTATCTCGCCCGCACGGCAGAGCCTGGCAAGCTCCCCGTGACGTATTCGATATGCCAGACACAGTAACAACAAAGTCTCCAATGGAGACGTTACTGGGCCCGCTCGAGCAAATCGATGATCAACGGGAGGGCCTTTACCTTTACCTTTACCTTTACCTTAACATTTTGCTCAACATCATTTGCTGGTAGTTTTTGGTAAATTGTCAGGAAAGCTAAATTTTAGTAGAATTTATCAGAAAAATGATCTGGGACAGATGTGCGCTTTCAGGACAGTAAACCAGCCTAAACTTTTCTTTTTTTTTCCCCCCCTTTAGATCCTTACACATATTTGCTTATTGAAAATTGTGAACTTTAAGGACTAAGATTTGTTTTGAGCAAAAAGTCACACATCTTTCATGTTAGATTGGAGATTTTTTCTTCTCATAAAAATCAGGTTTTTTTCCTTGCCAATTTTGCAGGTTATTCTAAAAGTTGGGATGTTTGTAGCCAGTTAGGACAATCGGAAGGTTACCAAGATTTGGCTACTCGTCAGGAGCTCATGGCTTTTGCTTTGACACATTGCCCTCCTAGCAGCATTGAACTCCTATTGGCAGCCAGCAGCTCTCTGCAGACAGAAGTAAGTGTTCCCAATAATGTGTATCTTCAACTCTGGGGATATGGGTCTGAGATTTGTGCTCAATATTTTAAAGTAAATAAGAATTTCAATTTATTTCAACGGATGGTACCTTATGTCATGTTAAAAGCGATTGGAAGATAGTAGTCTACAGATTGTGTTGGTTTCAGAATAATAAGGGTGACGGGGTATGAGGCAGGTGTGAGAAAAATAAAAATCATTATTAGGAAATAAGCTATTGAATATAATGGAGAAAGTTAATATTGTCAAGAATAAAACATAAAAAGGGTCTTATAAAATATAGTTGAAAATTTGTTTTTTGTTTTTTTTTTCACTTTTTAAAATTTTTTTTTTTTTAATTTTTATTAGTGAGACACTGAGGTACAGTTGTAGACTTACAAATTTTGTGCTTGGGTTTCAATTATACAGTGATCAAATACCTATCCCTCCACCAGTGCCCATTTCCCACCAGAAAATTTGTTTTAAAACGATTGGTGGCACCAGTTCTGTGGAAATAGTAGGCGGTGGAGGGGTGTTGCTTTGGCTGAGGTGATACTATGTTAAAATTGATGGGGATAAAGCTACACAAGGGAGAACAGTGCTCTAGGTGCAAAACATTGTTAAAATGTACAAAGATTCTAAAATCCACATTTTCTTAGATGTTATTCATTATATTGTGTGTCAGGTTTTTATAGTTGATTTCCACTTCTGAAACTGATGTATGCTTGTGAAGCTGTTCATGAAATCCCAGTGTTACCCAAAATGATGCATTTTGAAATAGCATCTTTTTCCTCAAAAGAATACTTCTCAAATATTATGCCACACTGTGAAGGAGCGGGAAATGAAAAAAAAAAATCTAGTTTCTCATACTACATCATGGTTTTTTTTTTTTTTTCAGATTCTATATCAAAGACTACATTTCCAAATTCACCCAGAAGGAGGGGAGAATTCTAATGTTGCGCCATTAATGTGTAAAGCTTTACAAGAGGTGAGTCTAAGGAAAATGGAAGTCTGAACGGCAGCACCTAACCTTACACATGAGGTGGGGGTGTGTGTGTGTCCCTGTCTGTGAGTGAAGATGGTTTTCCTTTTAAAATTTTATTCTTTCTGAAATATAAAATTCTTATAGAACATGCACAAACAGAAAATGTACAGCTGAATGAGTTATCACAGAGAACACCATGAAACTACCTAAAATAATAGTACCTCACGACCTTGTACAAGTTCTCGTTTCTCTCTCTCTCTCTCTCTCTCTCTCTCTCTCTCTCTCTCTCTCTCAGTTAAAATTCTGATCCTTCTCTCTGAAGAAGCACCTCTGTTCTGATTCATCCTATTAATCCTCAGAACCTTGAGTTGAATTTGGTTTTTGTATTGAGAACTTTAGTGCCTTATCCTGTTGATAGTTTACTTTTTTTACATGTTTTTTTCTTGATAGAAATAGTCATGCTTAATATTAATATTATGTTAGATTCATCTGTGCTATTTATTCATTGTTAACTGATATATAGTAATCAATTGCTCTGTCATAGTTATTTATTCCTATCCAGTATCTTTTAACTTTGTTAGTTTTCTTTCTCTCTCTCTCTCTCTCTCTCTCTCTCTCTCTCTCTCTTTCCTGTTAATTCTTTAGACAGATTGATGTTTTGATTTGCAATTTTTTGATTATGAGTGAAACCAACATATCTCTGGAGAGGTTTGTCTTCGCGTGGTATCTGTTCTGTTCTCCTGCTCATTCTCTTTTGGATTTTTTTTTATCCTTTTCCCTTTTTTTAATCTAGATTCTCATAAATAAATTTTGTCTGAACCAACTATATGTACATGTCTCAGGATAGTTCATCCTGAGGGTAAAAGGAAGAGGTAGCTTTTAATGTAGAAGAAAGCAACCTGGTTTCTTCTATTTGAAATGGGTAAAATAAAAATTATTATCTACTTTTTAATTTGATTTTGTACTAGATTTTATTACATGGTAATCCTTACTTTGAAAATGTTACATTCAGTTTTCCAGCAACTATTTTCTTAGACATGCAGTGTGATATATGATTAATAGGGTTTTTTTTTTTTTTTTGGTGTGGAATCTATTTTGTCAACCTCTAAACTCAATAGTAGTCAAGCACTATGTCGTTTCTTATAGAACTCTGATACAGACCTTTGTTGTGGAATTTGTTATTGGAAGTCAGGGCAAAGATATTTACCTTTTGCTCAGTCACATACAACTTCCCAATTTTGGTAAACATTTTCTATTAAAATCTAATTTGAAAAAACATGTTGAATACACAAGTGTCTCCGGAGCTTAGTATTGAGTGATCCAAGGATATTAAAGAAGTTTTTATTATGACTTTGGACACTTAAGGAAGTTTATTTTTCTTCTATTCTTCTTGAAGAAAAAGCATTCACTTCCGATGACTTCAGATAGCACCAGTTGGGGCTGGAGCCATAGTACAGCGAGTAGAGTGTTTGCCTTGTACACGACCGACCCAGGTTCGATTCCCAGAATCCCATGTTCTCCCCCTGAGCACCACCAGGAATAACCCCTGAGCATCGCCGGGTGTGACCCAAAAAGCAAAAATAAAAAAAAACAAACAAAAAAACAGAATAGCACCAGTCAACAGAATTAAACATAATGACAAAAATGGCCTGTATTCCTCTGTCCATTTTGGTTGTTGCTAATTAAATGTAGCTATTGAGTTCTAGAAGTAGAGCAACTAAGAAGTCAAAATTTAATTTCATCTAATTTAAGTTCAGTTAAGTAGTGACTTGGGCTGGAGTGATAGCACAGCAGGTAGGGTGTTTTCCTTGCAGGTGGCCAACATGGCCAACCTGAGTTTGATTTGTCCACCCCTCTCAGAGAGCCTGGCAAGCTACTGAGAGTACCTTGCCCTCACGGAAAAGCCTGGCAAGCTACCCGTGATATATTCGATATGCCAAACATAGTAACAAGTCTCACAATGGAGACATTACTGGGCCTACTCGAGCAAATCAATGAACAATGGGAGGACAGTGAGTGACAGTGAAGTAGTGACTTGAAACTACTGGCCTACTACATTGGACATCACCATTCTGAACCAGACATGCAGTAATTAGAAGGTTGTAGTTTGCACCCACAGGACAGACAGTGCACTTCTGTTTTTACATTCTTTCTGTATTGAAGCCGTAGCTTCATAGGCCTGGAAATTTGTCCTTTCATCAGTTGTGTGCATTGATCTCAGTGACAGTTGCTTTCCCCTTATTGGGTAGCAAGTGTACTGAGTTCTAGGGTATTTTCTCCTTGGATTCTGATTAGTTCTTAGGTTTTCCGCTGGTTGTTAGTCAGTGTAGGAGGTGTTGCCCAATTTCACTATATTTCAAGGTCAAATTCTGTTCCTTTTCATAATATCCTTCTCAGCCCAAATTTTATGTTTTTGAGTACCCGATCCTTACCACTTGCCCACCCACAACTGTTCTCTCTCTCTAACCACATCTCTATTTCTGATTTTATACCTGCTGTGTTCAGTCATGCTGAATGACACCATTTTCAGAGTAGGCTCTTTGCACCTTAGTATGTTTAGCTACTGTTCCTCTCTGCCATTGCCTCTCTTCTCTGTTTTGTATTCTGGCCATCTTTATAGTTCACCATATCATATATATCTTCTTTCAAAGTTGTTGTTTCAGGCATGCCATGTTCCCACACCAATCCTACCACCAGAGTGGCCTTCCCTCCACCAGTGTTCCCAGGCTCTCTCCCATCTCCCACCTTGCTTCCCTGACAGGCATGTTTCTAAATTTAGCTGTCATTGGCTCTGTGTTTTAGACATATACAGACACCTCTCCACATTGATGTGCTGTGGGACCTTGGCTTCTGCTCAGTTTACCTGCCCTCTGTGCATCTCTTTGGCACTTCCCTCTGTCTATTCTTCCCTTTCCTGTCCTTATCATTTCTAAAATCTAAGGTCTAGGGCAAACTAGGTATCTCATCCTTTCATGCCTTACATTTTTTCGACCTTTTGTTCTGTATACTGTGGATGAGTGAGATCAGTCAGGTGTTTTGTCTTTTTTTCTTCTGACTTCCTTCATTTACCATGCTATCCTCCAGGTCACCCAAGTTGCTGAAAATTACATGATTTCATCTTTATTATCCACTCCTCTGTAGTTGCACATCTGCTTGGTTCCATAGCCTCGCTATTGTACTAAACACTACAATGAAGAATGGTGTGCGTATGTCCTTCCGTATGAATGTTTTTGTGTTTGGGGATAGATATCAAGAAATGGAACTGCTTGGTCATATGAATGCTTTATTCTTACTTTTCTGAAAAATCTCTATAGTCTTTCCCAAGTGGGTCAACCAGACCAGATTCCCACCAGCTGTGAATGATAGTTCTTTTGTCACCATATACCTTCAACAGAGATTGCTTCTTAGTTTTTTTTTTTTTTTTTTTTTTTAAATAATGGCTAGAGTGATAGCACAGTGGTAGGGCATTTGCCTTGTATGCAGCCAGCCAGGCTGAGCCGGGTTCAATTCCTTCGCCCCTCTCGGAGAGCCCAGCAAGCTACCATGAGTATCTCACCCACACGGCAAAGCCTGGCAAGCTACCCGTGACGTATTCAATATGCCAAACATAGTAACAATAAGTCTCAAAAAAAAAAAAGTGGAGACGTTACTGGGCCCGCTGGAGCAAATCGATGAACAACGGGAGGATAGTGTTTGTTTGTTTTTGTTTGTACCATTCTCACTGGTGTGAGATGATATCTATTTGTTGTATTGATTTGGATTTCCCTGATACTAAGTGATGATGAGCAGTTTTTCACATGCCTCATCCTCTGTTTTCTTCAGAGAAGTGTCATTTCCTCCTGCCAGTTTTTGAGAGAATTTATGGGTTTTTGTTGTTGTTGAGTCCTGTTAGTGCTATATTTATCTTGGATAGTAACCCTTTATCTGGATATGTTGAATGTCTTCCTCATTTAATTGTCCTTTAGTTTTAACCCATGTTTCTATTGCCATGCAGAAGTGCTTCGTTTTATGTTGTCCCATTTGTTTATTTTTGATTTTTGTTTCCTTTGCCAATGAAATCTTATCATTGATGATACCTTTGAGGTCCAAGTCTCTGAGGATTTTGCCTGTGTTTTCCTCAATATATTTTATGGCTTCTGTTTTTTTTTTTTTTTTTTAATCTCAGTGTCTTTGAGGCACTGGTCATCTTTCTAATCCTGTGATACCATGTAAGTAAAGCGTCCCTTGAGTACTCTTAATTGTCCTGGCTCCTCATGTCCTGTGCAGCCTCACATTATTTTGTCAGCATGTATGTCATGTAGTTTGGTGTTGCATAATATCTTAAAAGTATTTAATGTATCAATACTTTCTTGTAAAAGTGCTTGCCACCTACTGAGTGGCTAGAAAGTGTTTGTTCATTTGAAGACTCCTATTGCAAAAACTTTAGTCTGTGGCAAAATTGAATTTTAAAGTAAATTTTACTCCCCCCTCCCAATAAAAAAAGAAATAGGATGAATTCCTTATTAAACTTCCCATATATGCGCAGTGCTATTGAGAGCCTGTTATGTTTTACACAATGTGAGGGGCATAGCTTTCCTCTGCCCGGTATGGAATTGTAGTGTTTTGGCTGAGTTTAGCTTCACAAGCTTATTTTGAATCTCCATCTTTCTTTAGAAATACATGAAAAGCCTTTTGTGACTTCTGGGTTTCCTGTTTTATGATTTTATAATGAAATAGAAAGTGTCAGCCTGCTCCCTCGCTGGCTCTTTGGAGTAGGACATGCTGTGTTTCACAAGTGGGTACATATTGCTCCATTAGACTCTTTTTCAGTAAATGAAGGAGACCACCAGCAGGCCTTTACATATTCCACTTAGCAAGGAAAAGGAATTCTTCCAGGATGACTTTTCTCTCCCCCAGCCCCCCCACCCCTTTTTTTAGTGCCTTAAAAGCTTTTCAATCTTCCTTTGTTCCCTTTCAGCAAGTTGTAATAGATCTGGATCTCATGAAGTGCAAATCCAAACCCC